GGGAAAGAGAATAATTTACTTTAGCCACAGATTAACTGAGACAGAGTATTTAATTCCATCTCCTTTGTTTTCTAGGAGCAGGCTGCCCTCTGGGGGTAAGCAGTATGCCATCAAGGAGGCTTTTAAATGCGTTTCTCATGCATTTTGGCATTAACTACAAGCTTCTATTATATTCTTCTGATTGCATCACCCTAAAATGTGGCATTTACAGGACCACTTTATGATGACTCCATGAAAATGAATAGCAAGATCTGTATACAGACTTGCTTAGCTGTGAATGTAACTCCGTGTTATATAGTCCTTAGGGAATAAGAGGTTGTTTTCTTAAATTCTTGCTGTTTTAATAAACCCAGTTTTCAGGGACCAATGGGTTGACTTTCACTTTGTTTTTTTAACAGAATATTAGAAGTGGCAAGGTGTTCTCAACTAACAGATGTAGGCTTTACCACTCTGGCCAGGGTAAGTGTTTTCTTCAGGTTCTGTAGGTTTTGTTCAGGGTTTGTTTTATTTCAGAAGAATGAGCAATGAGGGAAATGTGGAATGGCAGCAGAATTGAGGGTGTAGGATGTGGGGGGACGTCTCTGTGGCTGGTGTTCCTGAGCGTCCTTGGGCTGCAGCTACAGGCAGCTGCTCTGGAAAGGCAGACGTGCATTGGAGACCATGACATTCCTTCGTGAGACTTGATTTTCCGCCTCTTCATAAGATTATGTTAAACTAAGTGGGAATTTCCTAGTGCTTTTGAAAGAAGCTTATTTGGTTATTTGGTATGCAACTGGTGGATGAGAGTAATGTTGAAAGAAACATATAAGCCTGATTTAAATGGAGAGGTTTTAAGAGATTTTCTGTATTCTCCACAAGATTTTAATACATGGAGTGGTTTGTACATCACTGTATAATAATAGTATTTAAAATTATACCATCTTTGACCAGTGTAATGGAACATGGGAAGGGCATTTGCTTTCAGGCAGACAGTGGAATACTAATGGTGGGGGGCAGCCCATGGCATAACTAGATGAGGACATACAAATTCCCCTTCTGTGATTACAAAGAAATCATTTTCATTAAATTATTTTTGGTTGAAAGGATCTCTGTATTAGTTCAGTATCAATGTTCAGGAAATTTATTCCCTTGGACTTTTAACATGTTAGATACTTTAAGTGTGGAATAATTGAGAAATTTCACGGTGATAAAGGCCTTTTAAAAATGTGTAATTAGGGACTTCCCTGGTGGCGCAGCAGTTAAGAATCTGCCTGCCAATGCTGGGCACATGGGTTCAAGCCCTGGTCCGGAAAGATCCCACATGCTGCGGAGCAGCTAAGCTCCTGTGCCACAACTGCTGAGCAACCCCCGCTCGCCATAACTAGAGAAAGCCCACACACTGCAACGAAGACCCAATGCAGCCAAAAATAAATAAATAAAAATAAATTTTTAAAAAATGTGTAATTAACGGAATAAGGCAGGAAGTGATATAAGAATGACACCAACACTGAAGCTCTTAAGATTTCATCAGTCTATTTAATAATACTTCTTAGTTTTCTGACCTTAATTTTTTCCCAATTTTAAATGTTTGTACTGTAATGTTTGGGTTTGTATCTTATAGAATTGCCATGAACTTGAAAAGATGGACCTGGAAGAGTGTGTTCAGGTAAGATTGTGGATTTTTACTCAGAAATATAGTATTATAGAGACTTACACAATACATGCACATCAGAACGTTCAATTCCCTACCCTAGTATAGTGGGGAGCCTGCAGCACTGCTGACTCTCCATTTATTGAGGTGTCCTCCAGGCATACCAGCAGAGGTGCTCATGGTATTTTTGCTAATGAACTAGGAAAATACATGCCATCAATAAGGTTGCCATTGGAAAGAAAGATGGCTCAGGCATTTAGACCATAAAGATACTAAGATATTTCCTTAGACCTACAGGGTTATGATGCTAATAAATAATTAAAGGCCCAGCACACTGATAGATATCACTGCCCCTTTTTAGCTTAAGTGGACCCTGCGCCCCTTACATCATTAACCCTGGAGACCCAACTCTGTATGGAACCCTGCCCTTCAGGCAGGCAGACTTAGCTTCTTATCAACAGTTTTTTTTTATTACCAATTTTAAGAGCTTTCAGCTTATTAGTTGGCTGGGGAGAAATTTTAAAGAGGGACTCCTAAAAAGAAGATAGAACAGTGAATTTTTTTTAATGGTAAAAATAAAGAAGAGAAGATACTTCAATAACTATAGACGCCAATTTTTCTAAATTACTTGTTATCCGGACAGTACTTAGTCCCTGTTATTTCTTATTAAAGTAAAACTTATTCACATCCATCTGTTTCTTGCACATGCCTAAATGTCCTGTGTGTCCTTTCCAGTGTTAGTCCTTCTGAGTGATGTGCACACGCCTGCCCACTCCGGTCCCCCACCCCTGCCGTTTCTTAGCCCCTGTGAAATTATGTGTATTATAACAACAATCTCAGAATTGGAGAGAAATTTGAAAAGAAATGCTGATTTACTCTCCATCCTAAGATACTACTGTTCTTCCTTCAGGAGTTCTTCCTTACTGAATGTTCATAGTTAACCCAGCAGCAGCCTCTTTCTGCCACCCTTAGGGAAAATAACTGACATGCCAATTATCAATCCTGAGTTATGACATGGCTTATAAAAATATGGGCCAGATATCTAAAAATTTGAGGATGTTCCTACATTAATTTTTTTCATGGAGCAGTGTCTTCTGATTTACTTCTGTGATGGTTCTAAGGAGGTCAAAGTCCAGTGGGTGGAAGTTATGAGGGAACACATTTTCATTTGTTTCAAAAACAAACAATTTTTGACAGACCTGTTCAAAGATGACTGGATGAGTTTAAGCCCAGCCTGGATAGGTTCTCAAAGAACAGGTTCTCGGGCTTCCCTGGTGGCGCAGTGGTTAAGAATCTGCCTGCCAATGCAGGGGACACGGGTTCGAGCCCTGGTCCGGGAAGATCCCACATGCTGTGGAGCAGCTAAGCCCATGCGCCACAACTGCTGAGCCTGTGCTCTAGAGCCCATGAGCCACAGCTACTGAGCCTGAGTGCCACAACTACTGAAGCCCGTGCACCTAGAGCCCGTGCTCCGTAACAAGAGAAGCCACCACAATGAGAAGCCTGTGCACCGCAGTGAAGAGTAGCCCGTTTGCTGCAACTAGAGAAAGCCCGCATGCAGCAACGAAGACCCAATTCAGCCAAAAATAAAATAGATGAAATAAATAAATTTATTAAAAAAAAAAAACAAAACAGAAGAACAGGTCCTGGTAGCTGATGGGATTTCAACCTTACGATTCTGTTATTTGATGATCGATATCAGGATATCAGTCTAAAATACTAGTGTAGTCAAGAATGACGTATGACCTATGAGTTTTTTGGAATTATACCTAAAATAAACTTATATGTTTCTTTCAGATAACAGATAGCACATTAATCCAACTTTCTATACACTGTCCTCGACTTCAAGTATTGGTGAGTTTGACTGTGGAAGTTTTATGTATCTATTGGATTTAATCAAAACCCAGCTCTTACTTTCATCTTGGTGCCTGGCTACCATTTGGGGAAACCATATTTCTCCAAATTGTCAATTTACAGAGGACCAAGGGAGGACCTGCGTGAAGGGAGAAACTGAGATAGAAACTGGAAAAGTTAAACGTTTTCTGTATCAGTGCTTGGACCTTGAAAACTGACATGGAGAGTATGAGTTCTTGCTCCCACATGAATTACACTCCAGCCTGAACAGTGCTTAAATTTCCAGAGATCCAGGAGATGAGATGGCCTGAAATACGGTTTGCTTCACATTGGGACCAAGTGTTCCTATAAAATAGAACCAATCAAGGCTTTACTAGGGGTCGTTCTCTGCTACTGCTTCCAGTAACACTGTGGGAAAGCATTCTGGTTGACTGTTCTGTACCTAGGCTTATTTTTGGTGTTTTATGGCACATTAAACTATGTTTCGGTCGAGGGGTCTGAGTTTCGCATGGAGGAACCAGGGATTTAAGGAAAACTCGTAAAGTGAAGAGGTGACCACATCTTACAGCTGTAAGAGTCATCTTAGGTTAATTAACTATTTGGGCATGCCCCTGCACCAGGTATTCAACATTTAGTCCAAATTCCAGAAAATTTTTTACAGGGAAAGCTTAAGCCCCGCTTGTCCCTGTAGAGAAGAAAAGTATCAATAATTTGTGTGTGGAGAGCGTGGGGGGAGATATTTTGTTTATCAACTATTTCACAGTCATTATAGGAATTCACAAAATATATTTAGAATCGCACAGAGAAATGTTGATCATTGATTGTCAAAAGCAGAACCCCAGCAACTCCAGTATGCGTTCTTTATTTCACCACATGGCGCCAGTGATGGCTCCATATACTTCAGACTCAAACCAGAAAATTTTCCTTTTGCACACAGGCCTCTGGGTAGAAGAATGCCATTAAATATTTCAGTGTCCTTCCTTGCTCTATTTGGCTGCAGAGTCTGTCTCACTGTGAGCTGATCACAGACGATGGAATTCGTCACCTGGGGAACGGGGCCTGCGCCCATGACCAGCTGGAGGTGATTGAACTGGACAACTGCCCCCTAATTACAGATGCATCCCTGGAGCACTTGAAGAGCTGTCACAGCCTTGAGCGGATAGAACTCTATGACTGCCAGCAAATCACACGGGCTGGAATCAAGAGACTCAGGGTAAAGATGGTGGCATCACCCTCTGGCTCTAGTGTTCTCAGCACCCTTTCCTTCTTTCTTTATTTTTTCCCTCCATTTCATTTTTTTAGACTTAGATTCCTGTGATTATTTATATTTATGTGGACATTCAGCAAAGAGAAAAAAAGATGGAGAGTAAACCTAAGGGTAGATCGTTCTTACCTGTTGTTCCAGATATTTGGTAGGAAAATACCCACTGAAGGGATGAAAAGTAGATCTCCTCCCAGCAGAGTCTCTCTAATAACATGCCCAGAGTCAAAAAAGCACATGCCAGATTTTGGTTCTAAAGGAAAAAAGGAGTAACAAAAAGAAAATATTTAGTTAAATGGGATTTAAATTTTTAATTTGTATTTCTTTTCATATCAAACTGTTTTGCTGTGGTTCATTTTGTTTTAAGGCAACAAATGGATCACGTAGTTTTTTACCTTTTCCTTTTGCCCCATCCTTCATAATAGAGAGACCCATGTATAGCCAAATGACTAAAAGACAGATTGCCAGCAAGGAGCTTATAAAAGACTGGATGAATCTATATGTTGGATTATTCAGCTCAACAGACATTTATTGGAACATCTGCTTGACGCCTGTTGTGGGAAAGGCACTGTGTTAATTTGGCCCTTACAATCAACCTTTAAAAATATCCATGTTGGCCTTATGGCATCTGAGTGCATAAAGGAGCAGCACACTTCATCTTGAGTTCCACTTGACCTCAGTTCCGCCTCTCCCTTCAGACCTAGAGGACTGAGAACATAACTGCAATGGGGAGGCCTTGTACCCATATCTCTTCAACACCAAAAGAGGAGAGCCACAGGTCAACCAGAGCGTCTTCTATGGCCTACGTACATTAGGGTTTTTGGACCTGCCTGGCTGTCAGGAGTCTCTTCCACCTCTGAATCCTCAAGAGTCACTTAGCACTTTGACACTCGAATTTACCTATTTATGTGCATGTCTAGACTATAAGTCCCCTAAAAGCAGGATCTCCATCTTGACCATCTTGGCAGCCCTTTTACATAACTAGCACAGTGCCTTGAACATAGTAGGAGTTTGGAAACTATGTAGTAAAAATTAGAAGCATGTTGTTAAAAGAGGATAATGAGGTTTTTTAAAAAAATATCAGAAGAAACATTGTCCATAATGGCTTGGAAAAAATTAAGTTTTTAAGCTTATATAATTTCTTCCAGCTCTGGGAACCCCTTTGGGACAGGTTAAGAGATTAGCATGAATTTTTTCCCCAGTTTTATTATTATGGAAGCAGTTACTAAAGTTATGTGAGCTTTTTTGGTCTTTTAGAATAACGTGGGATGGTACAAAGTAGAACCCAGGTCTCTCAACATCCCGTCTGTGCTCAGCCTCTGCCCTGCCCTCATGTACACTCAGTCCCTCAGTGGTTTTTCTGAAAAGCAACATTGCTCTTTCTGTTTAAGCCCTCTCTCTTAGTAATGTTTCTGTCTTGTTTCAGACCCATTTACCCAATATTAAAGTCCACGCCTACTTCGCACCTGTCACTCCACCCCCATCAGTAGGGGGCAGCAGACAGCGCTTCTGCAGATGCTGCATCATCCTATGACAATGGAGGTGGTCAACCTTGGTGAACTGAGTATTTAATGACACTTCTAGAGTTACCATGGATCTCCATTGGAAGCGACCCCAGTGTTCCGGGCAAAGGTTACAAAGTGAGGGCAGCGTCCAGATCCCCAGAGCCACACATACATACGCATACCCACTCTCACCCCCACCCACTCTGTCTCTGTGACCAGGGGATTGGGTTTGTGCTGGCTTTATCATGTGGATTGGTAAAACTTAACCATTCCTGTTGGATGTGCCCAGAAGAAAATCAGAAGCAAGGTAGACGGAAGGGGGCATTCCAGCAAACCCAGTGTTACTGCTACTGTGGTTTCTTTATTTTGTTAAGGGGTTTCTTTGGCAGTTTTGGAACAGCAGCTGCAGTCCTCCAGGGTCAAGGAAAGCATAGAAAAACAATACATGTTGTATCCAGGGACCAGAGAGAAGATTTCTTTGCATCCTATAAATGGTAGCCATCCATTGTAAGATGACTGCAGAGCTTCTGTGCTTCCTTGTTCCCATGCCAACATGCTGAGCATGCTCACAAAGAAGGCTTGTCCATTCCTCCTCCTGTGTTTTAGTATTTGGCCCAGAGGTTTCCTAAATGGTTGCATTGAAATCGCTGTGGTCCAAAAGTGATGACGTATTCACTCAAATTGTCACTTTCTGTAGCACACTGTGTACCTGTCTTTCATTCTCTGTTGCTTTCTCCTGCACTCTTTCTCAGTCTGTCATCTGTGCATAGTCTGCTTACTCACACTCAATTGTTACTCCTTTGCTGTTGTTATGTTTACAGTTTGCATTTTGGGTGATTAGTTGGGGTTACCAAACATTTTTAAAAGAGACATTATCAATAAATATTTTTTTAATTCTAAGTTTTACCATTAGGGGACCCTGCCTGAATCTTTGCCAGTCTGAAGGGAAGCTATAACAAAAGCAAGAAAAATTATGAGAAGAAATTGAGCTAAGACTATTTTGATGAAAACAAACTTTGCCTTTTGGTTTCTGTTATATCTTGTAATAAATGATAATATGCATGATACGCCCAGTATTCCCCCTGCACATTTTTCCTTCCATCTAACTTAATAAGGAGAGAGAAATGCATTATTAGGAAAGGGTGGAATGGCAGGTCCCAAAACTGAACCTGAGAGCTGCCGCCACCCAAGCTCAGATGTGTTGTGTATTCACCGAAATCTAGGTGTGATCAGTGGCATCTAAGATTCGTGTCTCTGAGGTTTGTTCTGCTTTAGCGGGAATGCTGCTAGAGGAGTTGTGCAGTTGAGCCGGGTAGTTTCTCTTTTTCCCCCCCATTTCAGGCTATCAGGGGTTCAAGAATGACCCTATCACGGCTGGTCAACTGTATGTCAGTGTTGATGGTATCTTATCTAACGTTGGAGCCTCAAAGGACCAGAACCTGTCAGCCATATCTCTCTTGTGCTCCAGAGTTTCTGTGAATGAAATACTATAGTAGCCAGGTGAAGGCATTGGGGCAGCAGAAAGAGAACATTGAGAGGAAGTAGGGGGTTCAGTGTCTCTTCCCAGCCTGGTCACCAGAACTGAGGGCAGGGAATTTAGTGCCCATGACTCAGAAAGAAGAAGCTCCCCCCACTAAAAAAAAAAAGGAAAGAAAAATCATGGAGGATGAGGGAAAAATAAAATGAGTTTCTGAAGTACGAAAAGTAGACTTCTAAACATCAAGGTTAGAGACCTTGTGTGATTTTTAGTAGGGTGACTTTTTGTCTTTTAGGACATTAATGTGCAGAGTCCACTATAATCTTAGGTCATCTTCTGCATGATCCAGGCTGTTATCAGGCATGATTTAATGCTGCAGGTGCTGGTTCTACCAGCATATGTAAGAATAAAGTGTGATTTGTTTTTCCACAAGCAATCAGTTGAAAAGGTCCTAGGAATCTGTACTATCCACCATTATTTAGCACTTAACTTATTTTAAATCCCATTTTATTATTGTGCCCTTTTAAGATCAGATTATGTATGTTTTTCATTTCCCTTCCCTTATCCTCTTTTTACATTACCATATAAGGAATATACTTTTTAAAGTGAGACCCACTCTCCTGGCTATACCCCACATATACAGATACACACATGTGCACACACACTTCCAGATGTGGTTGATAATATTCAGATCCCTGGGTCCTCACTCAAATAAAACTAAAAAGAAGAATATTTAGGGGGCAGCTGCTCTAATGTACAAGTTTTTTTTTAAAAAAAAAAAACCAGTGTCTGAACAAAACCCTGATTTATTAGTGAGTGTGGATTCGAATTTCCCAATAGTTGAAGCTCTTGAGGTACTTCTTTATTTAAAAAACCCTTTTCACCAGTACATGAAGGTCTTAGAAATGCTGTTTCTGTTCTCAAAGAGTAGACCCATGTGCAGGTCCATGTGGAGGCGAGCCCTGCCTACCTGGGCCAAGAACAGAGTCAAGAGGGAATAAAGGCCCTGGAGTGTGCAGCACTGGCATGTATGTGGTCAGGCAGGAACCTTGTTCCTTTTTGAAGCAAACTTCTGGCCCATCAAGCTTGGAAGGACATTTTTTATGCCAATCTAAAACCTATGTCAGCTGATGAAATGTACCAGGACTTCGAGAGCGCAGAACATGGTAAGTTTAGGTCAGGTGGAAGGGCCCTGCCATCTGAACGTAGTATTTCCTGTCTCATCTTCAGGGACACTCTTGAAAATCCAATAAGGCTTTACTGATGTGGGAAAAACTCATCCTTAGGAAAAACTTATTGGTCCATTTGTCTGACTCCAGAGCCACTCCACAATATGCCTTCAATAATAAAAAAAAAAAAATACAGAGCGAACGGATAGAAGAGATTTGGGATAAGTAACAGGTGCCCTCAAAGTTATTATGCATCTGGATCATCTCTTTCCTAAGCAGCCTTTTCCCCTTACATGTTTTTAGCATCATCAGTATCTTTTACACCTTCATTGGCCCCATCAAGGTGATGATTCCAGCTTTTTTTTTTTTTTTTTTTGCATTGACTTCTCATATGTCCTTTCTATACCCATCCTTGCCCTCTATTTGGAAAGCTTCCATCTCACTCCCAGCAATGCTGCTAATTTATTCTTGTGTCTTCAGTTTAGCTTCCTCTTTGGATCCTTGTCCTGATCTGGGCAAACTCTCCTGGGCAGCCTTGAATTCAGTAACTGTCATGTAGCTCAGGCCATTTTTCACTGGGTGATCTTTGATGTTTGCTTACTGGATTTGAAATCAAACTGTTAGATATGAGGAATAAGAGAATCTGCCCTCATCCTTTTTCCAATATTTGGAATGTGAGAGCACATCATGCTTTATGTAAAAAAATGTTTTCTCCTCCTCTTCTGCTCTTTAGTGGATGTAAAAGTATTTCAAATTAAGTGGTGTTTATAAATTTCCACATCCATTAAGTTGATTTAGCAGACATATAAGTCAGAAATTTTTCATACTCCTTATGTCACATTTTAGAGGGCAACCTGGTAAATATTTTTATGATGCTTTATTTTGGGCTTTCCAAACTGTTTGAATGGTTCAGTATAGCTACAATGCTATATAGCAGTCACATTCTTTTATTTCTTCTAATTGCCTTGTAAAATGCATTGTTACTGGTCTGATAACCCACTAATGCCATGGGGGGCGGGCTAAACAAAGTATAAGTTGGAACCTGTCTTGGTTTGAAGTTGTTAGGAAGTGTGAGAGTGTCCCTGGAAAGAAGAGGTGGTTTCCTGCCTGCCTGTGGGCAGCATATCCTTGGTGACTGTATTGTTTAGAGGGGAAGAACACTTGATCATGGTGGACCCTTGTCCATTTAATGTTTATTGAAAAGTCAGATTGCTTATGACAGTTGCCACTAGTGAGAGAGGAAGGGTTTAAAGAAAATTGGACTGTTCTGCTTTTTCCCTCCTTTGTGTGCATGATTTAAGGTTAGATTTCTATCCTTGTTGTGCATCCTGGCTGACAGACTCTTTCAGTGGTATGCTCTGAGCTTTCGGAACATTTTATACAAAGATTGCCTTCTCTATCTGCCCACCAGTTCTAGGATTTTTAACCACCTCAAACCCAGGCCATGTGAATTAGTCAAGTCTTGTTTGAGAAGACATGTAGGATGTTTCATTGGAGGTCTTGAGGCAGAACCCTCCCGCTTACAATGATCTTGGACCAAAGAACGCTAAAGTGTCAGGAGGGTGAGGGGAATTAATAGTCTCAGCCTCTCCTCACCTTTATTTCTCTCATAAATTTTAATTGTAAGATTGGAAGATACAGAAAGCTGTATACAGCCATGTCGATAGGGTATAATTAACCCAGGTAATTTGGGAATAAAATTTGGCTTATATTTGCTATATCCAGATGCCCAGACTTAACATCTTGGTTCCCCAGCAAAGAACGTGCTGCTCTAACCTTGCCCTCTCACTTTGGACAAACTTTCTACCTACCAGAAACTACCATTTGAGGCAAGTGAGTTTTCTGCGTGAAGGGCTTCTGCAGCACCGCCCCCGCCCCCCGTGCCCTCCCAAGGCAAGTCTACCTATTTTGCCCATTTTTATTCTTAAGAACATCAGTTCTGCATCTCTGAAGCCTTTGATCCTTTGGAAAGTCAGTAAGACCTTCTCAGCTGAGTCTGAGTGAATCTTTGGAGCCCAAGAGAGTTACCCTTAATTTTCAGCAGGGAAAAAAATTGTTGGACAAAATCACGTGTGTGTTAAGAAAATTCCATAATGCGCTTCCTCCGTCTCTGCCTTCTGTGTTTGTTGAGTAACCCCTTAGTAGAGGTTGGTTCATAGGTGTTGAGACTCAGTGCTTCCTCAGCCAGGGTAGTTCACTGCCCTTTTAGGAAAAAGAACCATGAACAACCAAAACTATATCAGTTGACCCTTGTGTTTTTCAGTGTCTTGTTTTGAAGAATTGGGGTGGGGAAATGGTAGTTGACTTTCAAAGTAGAGGAGAGAATCAGTTGTGGAACTGGGGTGCTTCGCTTCAGGTACAAGCATCTGTCCGAATGTGTAGAAACAGCTGCCTCACATGTGAGTAGGTTTACTTTCCTCTCCATGTAATGAACTCCATGCCCTTCTTAGTGGCAAGGAGGGCTTCTACTTTCTACACACCTAACCAGTGTCATCCAGATGGGGATTGGCACCACTGAACACCACCAGTGCTTCCCATCGGCTTCTGGGCATGATTTTCACCAGGGCAAGAGCAAGTAGGCAGTAAATGAGAATCCCCACCCCAGGGAGAGAGACGAGAAGAGAGGTGTTCAGACACATACCTGTTCTCTTCTGCCATATCCCCAAGAACCCAGGGAAATCTTTGAAGTGATTTTTTTCTTTTTTTTAATTAAAGTGGATGAAGAAAGATTTACCCCACTAAGTTTTAGCTTGTCACTGTCTCTTATACTACTTGTTGTTACTCATTCAAATCTGTACTACACTGCTGCTCACATACATGTATGTGTTTCTTACCTTAGCCTAACCCTTCTCAGCCCCTGAAGTCATTATTCTATTTTGTGTTTTCTTTTTTTATGGCACTAGCGAATGAGAACCTAAAGTCTTAGAAAATCCTAACTTGAAAAGGAGTCTCTAACTGGCATGGTTTGATTAATTACTTTCCCTTTTCCCCCTAAAGACTTGAATGATTTTCTTCCCTAGTGCTATATAATAGATCTGTAATAAGTGAAACCTTTGCTGCTACGTTTCTGGGTTTACATCAGTTTTTTCCTTCCCTTAAAAATAATTTCTTATCTGTGCTTCTCTTATGACTGTTAATTTCTAGTAAGTACAGGAAGAGGTGAATCTGAGATTTCTTCTCTTACTCCCCTCCTCACGCTACCCCCAAATTATACACTAACCTCTAACATATATAAGATCCATGAGATGGGGCTCATCATAAGATGCTTGTGGGGTTTTTTTCTCATCATGCTGCAGCTCTCAGAGCTGGCCCCTGAGGATCTGTGACTACCCAGTCCGAAGGGTTACTACAGGGAGAGAAAGGCTTTCTTAATTTTGCCTTTCTCCATTCCTGTTTTATGATCACCCTTCAGATGCCTCCCATTCTGGCAGCCTCCTTTTTCCTCCCAGGAATTGTTTCCAAGTAACCTGCCTCGGTCATTTCCCAACTGCTCCCCTCACCTTTGCCCACCTTCCAGTGACCCTGAGAGCACAGACCTGAGAGACGGGGCCTGTGCAGAGCTCAGAGAACTGTGAGGACTACCCCTGCCTTTCAGACTCTACTTGGGGACAGAGATGGATGGGTAAATGGTGCTGCGGGAGCAATTTTTATCTTCAAACCAGGCTGTTTCGCCCTTTGCACTGCCCCACCTCCATCCCCACTCCCCTGAGGAAGGGGTAAAGTGCAGAGGATGGTTGACTAGCAGAGTCTGATCCCCAACATTGCTGTCTAGCCTAAGCCTTGTCCAGCCATTCGGCCTGCTCTGGTGTGAGAGCTTCAGTGTGTGGGAGCTGCCGCTTGCTTGTTTCTCCACCAGGCCTGCCCCAACACTTAGCCGGTCCCTGGGGCCAACACAGTTCCCTACATGGTGACTTAACACCAGCCTCCATTAGCTGTCCAAGCGACTGCGTTTCCATCCAATACTTTTGGCGCTTGAGGATGGGGGGAGGGAGGGAGGGTTATTTAAAATAAATAAAATCCAAGGTGGCAGTAGAGGATTCCTTTTGCTTTAAAAATCTTTGGACTAAAAAAATTTAAAAAAAAATTTTAAAAATGTTTTTTTATATATGAATATATAAAGTAAATTGTTATGTAACTATTATTGTTTCCTGTATGTTCTAATTTTTGGTTTATGATGTAATTAAAGGAAATAAGCTGTGAAGACTTTTCATTTTACTGCGGAAATAGCCTGACTTGGAGCTGTGATTCTTAACTTCCTTGAACCCTTGATCTGTAAAGGCTCCTGAGGCTGAATGAAGGGGCTTCTTTTTGGCATCTTTATTTTTTGTTAATATCCTTTAGTTAGTACCCTTTATTTATTTATTAATTGTTTAATAATCTTTATTTAGTACCTTTTCAATAGCCTTTATTTAATACCCTGCACTCCACTTGCTTCTAAGAAAAACGGAAGACATAATATAAATCAGAGTTTCTAAAAAACTTTTGTCTTAATTAATTTGATAATAACAATTCAACCTGAGTCCCTTATCTGTGCAAAGCATTGCCCTTACCTGGACTAGGAAGGAGTGAGGGAGTGGTGTAATGGTTAAACAAACTCACTCCACGTGACCTTGGCCAGTTTACCCCTCTATCTCAGTTCTTTGTTGGTAAAGTGCGGATAACAGTACCTGCTTTAGAGTTGTGAAGATTAAAAGTGATAAGAGTGGCACAAAGTAAACGCTCACATGTTACCTGCTTTTATTCGCTTCATTTCAGTATATTTCAGTATCTAGTCTGTGCCAGAGGCTCCTAGGTTGAGAGATGCACAAAGGCTGATGCCTTTGGTCCCTATCCTTTTGGTGGAGACGAGCAGTGAAGCCAAATCAGCAAACTCGATTTAAATCTCAGGGTATCTACCGTGCCCTGAAACACCTTTGGGGAGCCCTGTGGAATCAGAGGCCTCACTCGAAATCCGCTCATCCTGCATGAGGTAAATGCCTAATCTGGATTGGTCATCTGGGGCCAGCGGGGTCCCACAGTCCCTTCCAGGGGTGCAAGGAAGCAAGCCTGCTTCCTTGTCCATATTGAGACAGCCTTGGCTTTTGAGGGAGGCAAGCTCGAGGTCTTTGAACTTCAATAAACAGACTTTCCCTTCCCCTGTCCTTTAATCCTGTTAATTCAGCCAGTGTAGAGCCTTCCTCCTTCCTACCTTCCCTAGCGAGAGGCCAAAGATGATCAGTAAATGATAAATGGGGTAAATGATTAATAATGGCATCTTGGCCTATCTCCCAGTGCATGCAAATGGGTTTTATCTTTTCAGTATGTTTGAAATTTTCCATAATAAAAATCTTGAGGGAAGGGGATGAAAAAAGAGGAGTAGAATAAAATATGGCCCAAAATCACTTATCTTTTTAAAAAGTACTTTAATATAAAATTGGTTTTCTACACAGAAAAAGAAATACATAGAGAAAATCACTTTCAGGTAGATTATAGGCCTAAAAGTGAAACACAAAATTAAGTTTGAACTTTGAAAAACATTCATAGGAAATTAT